TACTTTCATGTTCGCTTCGCCTTCGCTTCTCCACGCAAACTGCCTTTATGAGTTCCTCTTCAGCTTGAGCACGTCGCTTCGCGCGACTTGTTTCGCCAGAACTTCGGCGTCGTTTATCATCCGCAGTTGCTTCGCCTTTCTCTTCAGCGGCAACACCAATGCTGTGTCGATTTCTTCAAAAAAAATTTTATATTATTTGACCACTCAATCATGTATGTGCATCTTGCTATGACTAACCTTGTCAACTTAAGTAAAGAGTACTAACGTAGCATTAATAATAGCACATTGATGTATGGAGCTTGTTCTTACCTAGATATATTTGAAGAAAAGTAGAGATCTGCGTAGCCAGGAAACAAATTCATTTGCGATTCAACTTCTTCACGCTGGGTTCTGAAAACGGACAATGCACATCTATAAAGATCTCAGAGATTAATCTGTAAGCGGACTCAAAGGTACTCTATATAAGATCAGACCAATTTCATACTTCTTATAATTAACTACTTAAAATTTTGTACGAGCTCATATGTAAAGATATAATATGAGTAAAACAAATAACAGCTTTTAATTAATGATTACAAGTACTTCTACTGTTGTTATATAAGAACAGATGATTACAGATTTCGATCCTTCGCAAATAAATCGTACCGGTACTCCTCATTAGCCCATAACTTCTCACGCACGGCGTCCATCAGGCTGCCGAGGCGATTTTTCCCGCGCCATTTAGAAGGATTGACTGCATCCGGACTGTCGATCGAGAGACCTGAGCTTACCATACGCGCACAGAAGTTTCTGCATTTATACAACGGAGATTACATGCCAGTAATTGCATAAAGGGCCTAGAAATAGCATTCTATCAAGGTAAAGCGAGGTTTTGTACACACTGAAAACTAGATGATTTTGACTTGCACACAATTAGGGTCGACAAAATTAGAAAACGTTAGGAAAAAAAAGACTCACCTATTCCCCAAAGAGAATCGAAAGGCGAACATTCGACGAGACGGGAACCATGGGTCAAAAACAGCATGTGCCGAAGTCGGGAGTCTTGCGTAAATTTGGCTTCTAACGCAGTGGTCATTACGGCTGAGCTCATAGAATCCCACATGAAAGCTTATGCATTTCAAACTGTTGGTTGTCATTTCCCAATACATTTCAATTACACATAACATTAAAAAAATAGGAACTCGAATATCAGAGATAACAGTGAAGTAAAGAAGAAAGCACCAAAGAGAATAGAAACAACACTCACAGTTCCTTATTAAAGCCGACGACCTCCATACCAATTCGTTTCATCTTCTTCGGGTCTCTTTCTGACATTATGCGTTCTGCTGCAGTTTTATCACCAGCCGATATAGCCTTGCAATACCTGTAGTCCGTA